TTACGGAAACTTTTTTGGCGCCAGGTGGACGTCCGCTCTGGAGAGAGAACGTGCTTCTCATTTGGCACCAGCCAGCGCAGCCTGGTTGAGCTCATAATACAATACAAGATAGAAGAACAGGATATAGAATATGGTGTATCCTCTATTGTAATATGGTACACTATTTTGGTCTGATGGTTCTGCTCCAGTGACGAGAATTACCGTCCGGGCTTATCCGGAGGTGGGAATTGACATTTACAGCACATGCTCATTTGGGCCAGGGGCATCACCAGGACACCAAAATCCACTCCTCCGTCAATCTCATCACAATGTGTCTGCGACTAGATTTGGAGTGAGCACTCGACAGTTTAGGCATGTTGTGGGCTTCAGGGCTGGGAGTCTATGCGCTTGTCTCGAACTCGCAATCCTTGATCTGAAGAGTTGCCGCCAAATCCTACACTCCAAGCCCAGTGCCCCAACCCCAAAATGTGAACCAAAAACCGAAAATCCATTTCCCACCGGATTTATTGCTCTTACTGTAGCAGAAATAGAAAGAGAGAGCCTGCGCTAGAAGCAGCCCCAGTCGCCGTCGACTTCGGCAGAGGTCTGCATTCATTTATTTTGATCCTACAGTTATATTTATGATTTCAAACTTTTAACGTAATGTACTATATCATGATGTAGACTATACTACAATTTTTTGCATCAAATTATACTATCTTGTATCACATTTTTCCAGTATATACCATAATCATAAATGACACACCGCCCCCTCACGGCTCCGGGAGAATCCCGCTCATCCCCTGACTCCCATGTCTCGCCGTCAGGCCCAGAGATCCTAAACGGCCCCCCAAAACCACCATCTCAATCCGAAACCCTACACTTACCCCCCAGGTCCTAAACCCAGAGGCCCCGCGGCCTTGGCCGACTGCAGGGACTCCTTCTCCTGCTCACGGGCCTTCCAGCAGGAGCTCGAAAAGAAGGTAGTTTTCCGGAAGTAAGGGACCAAAAAAAGAACTCGAAATCATTTGATCCTCACTCTCTCTCTCTCTCTCTCTCTCTCGGGGGGCCCCAGATAACGTACCCCTAAGAAGGTCCAGATAGATGAGGCAGCCAGGAAGGAGGCCCGAGCATCGAGTCTCAGGGATCCGGGCCGTCTTCCGGGTCTCGTAGTTCTTGAGAAGCCAGCTGCACTCCTCAGACCGGAGCTCGGGGGCTTTTGAGAGTTTGATCCGGGACTTCGTGAGCTGAAAGGCTGAAGAAAGCGCCCCGGCGGTTCTGCTCTACTTTCCAACACCCTCCCAAGGGTGAAAGAAAGGCCGGCTTTCCCTTGCCGCCTTGGCCTGCTGGTTTCCTTGCATGTCGAGGTTTAGGTTGCCCCTGAGCCTGTGACCCGACACCCAAAGGAGCAACAGGTGCCCGGTGTCTGACTCAGGGCCACTTTGCTGAGCATCGCAGCTAGTCTAGACCCCCAAGTCGACCGGCACATGCCACGAAGTATGGGACATGGCCGGTACAAGGGAAGGTCCTTGTGTTCACTGAGGCCTCCGGTCCCAAACTTCATCCCATCCTGCAAAGCTCGTGCTCTGCCCAACGTCGAACCTGAAAATGTTCCTGCTCAACAGTGACCTCCGTTCGACACAATCCAAAGCCCAAAACCTGGCGCAAGAGCCCTGTAGTCCCAAATGCAGGAGGCAGCCCTCCTCGTCCAGTTCCACCCCGTACTGCTGCACGTCCTGGAGTAGATCGTGCCGACATCATCACAGTGTGCTCTTCAATAAGACACTGAAACATTTCTTACAGCAACTTCTAGTAGATCGTGGTATGTTGAAACTGGTGGGTGTGTCATGGCATACTACACAGCAGCGGGGCATGGTTCGTATAACGTACTAGCATGCGATACTCGGAGGTGCATGAAAGCTTCTGATCATTCGGACGCGCCATTCCAAGCTTGCTAGCAGGATCCAAATCTGTATTGAAGACATGTGAAAACCTGTATCAAAGCCTTCTTCTACAAGCTCTATATAAGCCCTATTCAGCCCCGGGTTGAAGCGCGCTTTGAAATACAACGAACCCCAACTACAGAAGCAAAAACCTACGAAGCAGTTTCAAGCCCAGAACATACCCTAGTGAAAAAACCGTTTAGCAGCACAAATAAGGCCTCTAGAGCCGTGAATCCTAAACCCTGAGTCCTAAACCTAACCCCAAATCCTAGAAGACCCTAAACCCTAATCCCCAAAGCTCCCAGACCCTGAACCAGTGATGCCTTCAGCTCTTCCTTCTCGGCCTTCGTCGCCTCCTCGGTTGAGGGTTTATTTCGGGGTTAGGGCTCAGGATGAAATGGCTCCTTAGAGGTGACTGCCGGAACCTGGCCGCAACAAGCATGACTCTAGAGGGATCGCAGCTGATCAGGCAAATCGAACTGGCTGCTATTCGTACGAAGGCTCTTAAGACGTTGGCAAGTTCCCGAGCATCGAGGGATTGAAATGAGTGTCATGCAGCTCATGTATAAGATCGGGAGGGCCGAAAATTTTTCGGCTGGGACGGGCCCCAGTTGCTGCTGGCCGGCAAGCTTCGCTTTCGAATCTCGACGGACGCCATCAGAGACTAAACTCCAACATGGGTCCGAAGCCCTGTGGTCGGCTGAAACTTGGGTGTCCGGCCGACTTCTTCACCACCTCGCCCTCTGCTGTGGCCTCGGTGTCCCAAGTCGACCCCAGAGCCATCGGACTTTGTTAAGGCTACACGCCTCCTGACCGGCAGGACGGGCTTGTGAGCTACTTCCTCCAGGCATGCAGCGAACACCCGAACTGAAGTCAAGCGATTCTGTCAAAGGATCATCTTCGGTTGGCATACATTACAGATTACACCTGGCCTGTGCTGGAGCCTCCAATTACAGAGGATGTTGAGGCCTCGGGTGCAGAATGAATCATAAAACCCTGTGGAGACCAGAACGATTGCAAAACAATTCTCATGGTAACGAGGTGGATGATGATGCAGAGGGGAAGGACGGTGGTATGATGATTGAATCAAAAAGTACGGTCACAACAACAATAAAGAAACCACGACCACCCACCATCATGATAATGACGTCAAGTTAGCACGACTGATGATATGTGCAACAGTGACAGATTCAACACCGCTAGCTAATGTGCTGTAGGTAGCCTTCTTCGCGACTAGACGGGAGCAATAGGATCAAAAACATCACAAGCACTGCACTGCCGAAACTATCATGTTGCAGCATTCGCAGCCATAGCATTGGCATAAGTATGATGCATGCAGCTACGCACAAACACCACCTCACATCCCAGAAGCCGCAACCCCAACCAAACAAGCAGAGAAACCGCACCCCCTAAACCGTCCTAAAAGTCCCAAAAACCTCGAAAACTAAACACACACCCAACACCAACCCACCCCTCAACCCCCCTCACCCGAAAAAACAAGAACCTAAACCCTATAAAACCCTATAAACCCTATAAACCGTACAAGCCCCATAAACCCTAAAAACCCTATAAACCCTAAAAGCCCTTAAAAACCTAATAAACCTTATAAACCCTATAAACCACTATAAAACCCCTAAACCCTAAACCATTTCCGGGCCTTGGCCTTCTGCTTGGAGGTGATGGCCTTGACGTCGGCCTCCCGCTTGGCAGCAGCCTCGGGACAGGTTTGCTCTTCTGGCCCCCTTTGTCGGGGTTCCTTGTTTAGGGTTTAGGGTTTAGGGCCTAGGGTTTTGGGTTTAGGGCTTAGGGTTATTGAGGAGTTGAATTTAAATTACCATAACAGGGGCCTACAGTAAATAATATGGTTTGGTTTTCCTTTGCTCTTCTGGCTCTTGTTAAGGAGTTGACTTTAGATTACCATACTAGGGGTCTATAGTACATGCTAGGGTTTCCTTTTCTGGGTTCCTTGTTGAAGAAATCAATTAAAGCTACCATTCTAAGGAAGCCATATTATTGAAGGGTTCTTGTCATGGAATCTAGTCTAACTTACCATAATCTGAAAACCAAGCCACATTATTTACTGTAGATGCCTAACCTGGTAGTTTAACTCTGATTTCTTGTTAGGGAATTGAACTTAAGTTACTTAAAACAAGGAACTATGGGATCTAGAAGGGTTCCTTGACGGGTTTAGGTTTAAGGCTTAAGTTGCCATAACAATGATATTAGGGCTCCTCTAAGGGATCTTTAAGGGTCCCTTTAACGGATCTGTAAGGGTTCCTTCAAGGGTTAAGGAATTGAAATGAGGTTACCATAATAAGACAACCATATTATTTAATTAATTATAGATCCCTGTTAAGGTAGTGTAAGTTAAATATTTTAACCAGAACCCAGTTCTATATCAGGGTTCACGGTTTGGCTTGGATTATCTTGGGAGGGCTGGGGGGTTTACATTGTGCAGGAAGCTGGAAAGGACATGAAACGAGAAACCGGGGTACGGAGGCTCACAAAACCACACACAACCTCCAAATCCGAATGGGCGAACGGCGTCGGCGAGCATGTCTTCGTAGAGCTGCTGGGACTCTTTCTCGTTGTACTTGGCCTGGCGCGCTTGCAGCTAGTTACAAGCTTAAGAAGCGTAGCGAAGATGCTGCAACCCAAGAATTCTGATTGGTTGCTCCGTCTCAGCCCAACATGTTTCACCGGTGAACTCGAAACGGAACGGGAAGGCGGAAGGTTCCAAGGGTGCCGAGCCTCGGCCACCGTCTTCTCGGTCTCCGTGACAAGGCCTTCCCAAGCTCCGATCAGATCGTTACAGGATTGCAGCATTAAAGGCCGAGTTACCCTCTGTGTCAGGATTCTTGAAAGCAGTTCCGTGCTCATGAACACAGAAGGAAGGCGAGCTGCAGGCTATGAGTGACAGGAGCTGCTGCAGATGATCTGTGAGCCTCCCTCCCTGACGGGGCCTTCGAGCATGTTGAGAACGCCGTTTCCCTGGACAGTCCTGAAGCAGGATCATTCATGAGACGACGCTCTTCAAACCTCGCTGGACCCCTTGTATCTGTGTGTGTGCCCGTGCAAGTATCTCTGGTCTAGACTACAGTGTAACCTAGCTCAACACACATAAGTACAAACTTGTTTAGGTATGTGCTGGCTGCTTGCTATTGCCAGCGTCTTGTACGTGTTAGATGCGTACTATACCCTACCTACCTATCCTAACCTGCTACCCACGTGCCCACGTACCTCGTGTGTCCGTGTCTACGCATGAAAAACGTGGGTAGGCAATGTAGGCGTGAAACGACTACGCAGATCGGTAAGCTCCCGGCTTGGCCGAGCCGAACTCCGGAGGCTCCTCCTTCATCCGATGAGCCTCCACCTGCCGGGGAAAGCCCTCGTAAAGCATGCAAGGGGCCGCACTTAGAATAGAGTCGTGTGGGGAAGGCGGAGCTTGCCCCGTGGGGGCTCTAAGGGATTGAGTTTCTAGGGTGATGCGCGTTGCTATGTGAATGACCAAGGAAAAGACTGCACGAAGCAAGAGGCTGAAGACTTCGTACGACAGATCTTCCGACGTCCTTCAAGATGTCGGGAGGAGCAGACGGGTGCCGGGCCTGAACCAAAGCAGGGGCCTCCTGCGCAGGCAACTGTGGAGCATGTCCCGTGTGGTGCGGTGTTCGGAAAAACAGTAGTCTCCTGCACAAGACCCAAGTCATATGGGCCGGTAGTCGACAGGGTGGTGGTCATGTCCTGAGTTGGGATCATCAGGTTTGCAGTGTTCCAAAGTCACTTCACGAAGTCGGCCGAGGCTCCGGGTGATAGAACTGGAAGAGGCGGTTCTTGGCCATCAGCAGGACATCCTGGAAAGCGAATGTCAAGACTAGGGACACCTCGCCTCGGGCCTGAAGCCCAAAAACCTGCGAAGGCACTCCGGACAAGTTCAGACCCTACCTCAGCAAGGCGACGACTACAGCTAGGCATGATGCCCGGATTCATGATGCCCGGATTCACCCTCACAGGAGATAAGTGGGCTGGAGAGTCTTGCAGCTACGAGTGTGACCAGCATCCTCGTAACAGCAAAAGACCCCAAGCCAAGCCCAGGATGGCCCTGACCACAGCCCATCGACTCCTTGGTCGCGGCCTGCTCCTGCACGGTCTTCTGGTACTCCTTGCAGCTACGGCGACTCGACCACAAGCCAAAAACTGGCTCAAGTCTGGTGTCAACAAAAAGATAATATAGAGCACTCTGAGGAAATATTGCAAGGGTCACTGTTCGACGAATCCAGTGCCTTCCACAGTGAAGAAGATGGAGACCCGAACCCAAACCCTCCTTTTGGCCTGCCAGAGACCGGAACTTGAACCCATCAACCAGGCCACAACACCCCAGAAATCGAAGTCCTAACTGCTTTCGGTCCAAATCATCTATCTAGCCCTCAACCCTGAACGCTAAGATCTTAAAACCCTACACTCTGACACAGCAACCCCTATGTGTGATCCGATTCACCCCCATGAAGCCCCACGATGGGATTGGCCTCGTGCTCCTTCTTCCTCATATCCGTGGACTCGGCGACCGACTTGTCCAGCCTAGGTCGGAGCTGGAGGGCTTTCAGAAGAGTTCGAGGCTTTTGGAGTTTAGGGGCTTTGTGGTTTAAGGGGCTTTTGGTGGGTTAAGACTTTGGGTTTTCCGATGTTGTTGAAGCTTTAGTCGGCTGGCGCATCTACATCACACGATTCGCTCTAGGGGCTAAGCTCGAACGCAATCCAAATCTACCCTGCATAACCAAGCAACCGAGAACTTGTGTCTTTGTCTGTCACTGTCCTCCTGTGTAAATGTACGATAAGCAACTTGAGAGACAGACGGCAAAGACAGGACAGACGGAGCGGCGCAGAGAGTGACGGAGAGACAAACAAATAGATGACAGATGTAAAAAGACAATGGATGGAGCTATTCGTCCATTCCCAACTTGCTCTGGGGCTCCAGCGAGGCCACGCCGGCCTGCAGGGACTTGATGTCCTCCGCGGTGGCCTTTGCTGCCTGCAAAAGAATTCCGGATGCCAGGCTTTGAACCCTGAACCTCGGACCTGCGGGCCGACCCTCGAGCCCTTGCTTCCGAAGCTGCAAAGCGCGAACCCCGAGCCCAGCAGCCTCCTCCTGGGTGGTGATGGCCTGCTTCAGGGTCTGGATCTTGTGGCGGAGTGCCTGATGTGGTCGTTCACGGGCTGTGGAGCTCCGCTCAGTGGTTCAAGTGGTAGAAGGTGGAGAACACGGAGGTACCCTAAGGTTTCGGTTGAACCTCTATCATGTCATGTTCTGGCATCGCTGCATGCATTACAGGACCATGCTCGAGGTTCTTCAGCTCGAGTTCTCGAGCTTTAGCTTCCATGGTGTTCGGACTCTGAAAATGTCGAGATCCGTCCGGCCTTGGTCTTGCGCTTGTTCTCGAAGGCCTGCTTGTTGCAGTAGTCCTTCTTGTCGTCGTCATCGGACTGCTCCTGATAGAGTCACAGATAACTCAAGGGTTCAAGGGTTCGCAAGCTTTAAGCAGGAGGACTCGGTGCACTACGAAAAGCAAACGGCTTCTGCATTAACGAAGCTGCAGACCTCTCCGCACCCCAAACACGAGACGCACCAAGATGGCCACCCCAGGAAAACACCCCCCTTGTGCAAACTTGTCTCTGCAAAACACGACCAGCCGAACAACCCCCACTCCTCGGCATGGTTACGAGCCGAGTTTAGACGAGCACGACTCTCAAATGCGCAAACTGGTTTCTGTGTATTGCCCAACTAGAGCGACAAGTATAGCAGCGTATAGCCTCAACGACACATAGAGATTCACACATGGATAGTAATACAGGAAGACAAAACTGCAGACATGGAAATGGAGATAGAGACACGGATAGACTTAGACACAGATATAGATAAAAAGACATGCGCATGTTGCCGGATAGATGCATATACTGGTGATTTGTACATTGATGCATTCTATATACATACCTACATACATCCATCCATCCAACCCCCTCTCTCCATCTATCCATCCATACATCCATCCATGCATCCATGCATCCATGCATCCGTTCGTACCTGCATCCATGAATCCATACATCCATGCATATTTATGCATGTATGTATGTATGCATGTATGATGCATGTATGTATATGTATACTTATACATTTACATATACATTTACACATACATATACATATACATTTTCACATACATACCCATATACACAAATATATATATATATATACACACAATATACATACAATAGACATATATATATATATATATATATATACATACACATATACAACCATAATCAGTCCATGCATGCACACATGCATACATGCCAGACATATCGTGTCCAGTTCTGACATCACCCTAGCCTGATTTACCATTGGTGTTTATACTGCTCCCCTGCTGACAATGCTCAGTACGTCAGCTAAACAAGTATCGTAGCTCCGTTACATGCCCATGATTCCGCAGCCTGCACCATCAACGCGGTCATGTTGTCGATCATTTGCATGACCTGAGGTCTTCAACAAAGCCCTGATACCCAAGGCCCAGATAGGCCCGTGACAAAGAGAATCAGATTGTGGATGAGACGCGTAGTGCGCAACTGTCAATGTAAAGTCAAGCATTCAAGTTGTTCCTGCAACTTCCTTGAATTTCTCACTTCAGGATGTTGGTGACATTCAACACATGGCCTAGTGGCCAAGGGAGTCTGAACTGCAGACAAGGGCAGCAAATCTTCCGGACCCGAGCCTGAACCCCATCTCGCTGACTCTGTCATGCAACCTGCTTGGTGCCGGGCCGTAGAGAAGTCGACTCCCTTGTGGGATAAGGCCAGCATCTCAGCGAGGCAAATTTAGTTCGCGGACGATGGTCAGGTCTTGGGCAGTGATGCCGAACAGCGCCATGATGCTGAAACACGACAGCGAATATCTGCATAGTCGGAACACGAACCACTGCTTGCTCCTTGTGAACAGAAGCCGGAGCTTCTCTGGTAAGCTGAAACGCCCCCAAGACTTGGTCTCGGCTCCAGCTCCGTCAATCCCAAGCCGATACTTACAACCTACGACCCCGGCAACGAAGCAAACACGGCTTCAAAGTGTCCAAGAGCCGGACAACCAGGTCGATGTTGGTTCGGTTGGGAACCGCCTGCGGAGCAGATGGACGAGTTCTGGGGCCATGGGGTTTGCCAGCAAATGCCCTCAGAGGAACACAGACTCCTCTTTTGGCTCCGGACTGGCCTCGGAGCCCATGCCCTTGGCATAGGTCTTCAACGCATCCAGCGCTTTGCTCCTGGCACAAGAGGCGTTCCGCGTGACGGGACTTTGGGGGTGTGAGGGTGTGACAACACGTAATGACATGAACAGCAACAGGTTTCTGAAGCTCACATACACCTCCTGACTCACATTCGCAGCATCGACCTCAAGGTCAACCCTGGCAGCAGTATGACCATCCAATCCCTCTTCATATCCCTCCGCACCTGGATTGGGAACCCTCCAGCTGCAAAAGGCTTGGGCTCGGCCTGGGCAGCCACATTAAGAGGCGACGGAACCCGGGACACGCGATGCTTGGTGAACACACTCAGGGCATCTGAGGGCTTTTGGGCCTAGAGTGCGGGTTGAACAAATCAAACTCGGCATTCTGTGACTCCAGGATTTCCGATTTGAGGCTGTGTGACTGCACAGTGATCGTTTACAGAGCTTTCGGTCCGGTCGGCACCGGGGTGGTGCTTTCAGGGAGTTTGGGATCGCCGCTGTTCCGATGATGAACAGACATGGAGTCTTTGAAGCAATCCTACTCTTGCGCCACCAAAGGGCGAACCTGCGGCGAGTAGTTCACGCAGTCTCACCTACGATCTATCTCAGAAGCTCGTATGTCTGGGCGCCTAAACGAACTATGAAAGAGACGTTGCCTCACATGATTCTTCGGAGATGCCGCAGGTGGCTTTCTCCGGGAATCAACTTCTGCAAGTCCACCGGGGCTACTACAATGCCTTCTTGAAGAGCCCGAGGTTCTCATCCTTGGCAGGATGAGGACAGCTTGGAGAGGTTGGTTGTACTTCTAAAGAGCTCTGCCCATCTAAGCTCCTGCGGCTCAGTCGACGGGAGCTCGACGTGAACGATCCCCCGTTCCGCATCTGAGCTCCGTGCGCTGTTCAGGATCTTGACGGTCTCTTGAATGGCTACCAGCTCCTGGCTGCCGATTTCTCGACACGAACAAACGAATCTCTGGGATTCAAGTTCCGGACAACTTACTCGCGGCTGTAAAGGAAGTGCTCCCAGTTCCTCGTTGCGGGTCTTCTCACGCACGTCCCATTCATGAGTCTTGGCATCGCAGGTCTCGGAGAGCTTCTTCCTGGCCGTCAGCACGCTGCAAAGTCGGGTCCCGGAGTTTGAGATACTGGGAGGGCAGCGCGAGAGGAGTAGAGTAGCACAAGCCAGGGCCCCTGCAGCACATCGAAATCCTTGGAGAGGGCATTCTGCGCATCCTTAAGTTCGCCCTTGAGCTCGACAAGGGAGACCTGCGAAGAGAACCGACAAAAGCAGTCTTAAGCCCATGCGGTGCGCACACACCTTGAGAATGCCGAGCCGGTCGATCTTGTCCGCAATGGTCTCCTTGGGCCATCAAAGACTCGGAGCGAAGCGATGACGAAGCTGCTCGTTCTTTATCATACCAGGCTACACTGACTATCTGGTACTATGGCATTCATTAAACTGTATTGCACGGTATCATACTACACTATATCAACGTGAATTTTGTTCTGGTCCCCGGTGGTCCTCGATGGTCTCCTTCTCGTTGGTCTTGGCGTTCATCAACTCCTTCGGCCATGCAACTGCTGCACTTGTGGAATTTTGAGAAAAGGCTTCATTGGGGAGGTTCTTTTTTTTGATGCTCCTTTTCCTCTCGCCAGTCGATCGGAATGCCCATTAGGCTGAAGCTTGGAGGCCGGACAATCTACGCAGGACTCACCACCATCACCACTTACTTCCCCCGTACTTACCCAGCAATTGATCACTACGATGATTGTCCGCCAGCCAGGGTCTCGGCACCAACAAGACTTCCATCAAGGTTTCGGGTTTAGGGTCCGTTATATGAGATTTTCAGACAATAGAAACCAAAATGAGAGAAGTTGAGGGCAGTACTGTTTGTACCATATATCATACATGGCACAAACCTCAAACCCAAACGCCTAACCTAAACACTCTCAGGGAACCTCAAGAGTACCCTTATAGGGTTTTTCTAGAATCCTGGTAGATCCCACAAAACTGTTAGACGCGACCTGATGATGTTCGTTTTCGAAGATAACTGGGCCCGGGAGTCCCATGAAGCAAAACAAGAAAACATAAAAACTTGTCCATCCAAACCCCATGCAAACCTTCAACGCCCCAAGAATTGAACCCTAAAACCTAAACTCCTAACCAGACCAATTCCGGACCAATCCCGCACCAATCCAAAACCAATGTTGGACCTTAAAGAACCCCCCCGAACATACAACCCGATAACGAATATAACATATGTGGTAGCTTCAGAAAACAATGGGTCCTAATCACATTAAGCTAGCCCCCAGGTAGTATGATCCTGAGTATAAGGATCCCTCAATCAGATGTCCCCATTTCCGAAACTCCCGTGTTGTCCAAGCAAGGATACTGGCAAACCAGCAAACCGAGGAAAAGAGGAAGAAGAGCAGCGACGCAACCAACAACATCATCAGGTCATTACAGCCGTCAAAGCAGAATGAAATCTCAGTCATCCTCATCATCTTCGGTGTCATTCTCATGAGCATCACTGTCATCACAAGTATCAACCACTCTAAGTACAATCATCCTCACACCATCAGCAGCACCAACAACAATGTCTTTGAACATCTGAAGCTTTGCAAGAACTCTCTGCCTCGAAGATGTTGACGTCTTTAACCTCCTCCGTGTCATCGACGACTACTTCCTTCGCCATCTCCTCACGCTGCCTGGCAATTCACCCCCTTCAGGCAAACGGGTTTATTTCATGCGCACAGGCCGCAAGCAATCTGAGTAATTACTATTTACCACAATGTGCGTCACGAAGTCGTCTTTCAACTTCAATCTTCAAGGCCGATAAAGAGCAGCCGGAGACACACTTCCAGCATGCCTTTCACCTCGCCGATGCCCTGAGCCTGGCACTTCAGGCTCAGGGCTTCACGGGGACGGGGAGAGCAAACCCTGGATTACATGGAAGAGAACCTTTTCTCGGCGAAGACATGTAAACATCCTCAACGAGACAAGGGCACCTCGACCTTACCCTCGAGGAATGAAGTCAGCACCTGGCGATCGCTCTCGGTGACCTCAGTACCCACAAGAGCAAAGCGGATGCGAACTAAAAGGGCGATAACTTGCCAAGCAAGCAAAGCAACCAATGCGAGATTGCACTTTGCTGCACAGTGCAACAATCTGGATTTTGCGCTGGCTACATAGCCCTGCTTCGGGATTCTGCGGACTGTGTCTCCCACGCTCTTGCTTTTCGACACCACGTGCTGAAGCCTGTCGACCTCTGCAATGCGCTGTTGGTCTGAAAACAGCGCGGCAACGCAATTCGAGCAGCTTTCAATCAAAAGTCTCCGCCGGCACCTGCTTCTTCGAAAGACCCGCGAGATGGCCAGTCTGAACAAAAGCACCCTGGGTAGCCTCGACACAGCAAGCTCGGAAGGGATTTGACAGAACCTGCTTTCTTTCACAGATGCACTGATGACCTTTCATTCAGAACTCTTCGGGTTACATCATCATAATGACAACGCAGGAAATGTCCACGGCAGAAGGAACGAAGCAAACCATATGGGCTTCGTGAGTTTGTCTTCTCCTGTGACCACATGCCGTCCTCGTTCAGCGCGGGGATGGCTTGATCGATCGCACCGATGTCACCCTGCACCGAGACCGACTTCTGAGCAAGTTGTGCAACCGTCCTTCCCAGCACTAGCCGCCAGCTGCCGCCAAGGAAGCACGAAGGCTTGCCTTCAATTCTGTCACGTCATCAACGTAGACCGTATGCTCCTGCAGGGCAAGGTTCCGAGCTGACCAGTGACTGACATCAACTACCCTCCGTCGTCTCCTTCTCACGCTCGACCCCAGCACGTTTCATGCTGTCCACCGTGGCCGCTTCGTCGGCCCGTTGCGCCTGGCCGGAAATTGGCATTAAACACAGCAAGTATCGTTTGCAGTTCGCATTGATCGGTAATCTTCCCGGCTGCACGGCACCTCAATCTCCTGGCTCAGCTGCGAAATCTGTGCTTCAGCCTCGGACAGCATGAGGCAGAAATTCCCGACAAACTCATCAGATCTACATGGATTCGCCACAAAACCTCTAGGTGGCAGGCAGTGCTGATGTCCGACTCGAGCTTCGGTACGGCCTCAACGACTTAACGATACCATTGAACAATCGGCTGATTCGAGAAAGGCTGTAGGCGAGGAGGCTAGACATGTACACATGAGACCCACAGCTGACAGCACGGGCTCCGAGCGGCTTCGAACTCAGCCTTCCCCTGTCACGCACGGCAGACAGTTTGCAAGCAACTTGAGCCTGACAGCAACCTGGCCAATTGTGCCTCCCCAGCTCATTCCAATCACGATCTAAACTCTAAAGCCTACACCTTCTGTCGAGGCTTACGGTCCTTGTTGAAATCTTCCAGCTCAGACTTGCAGTGGCACATGAACTTGTCCTGGCACAATGGGTAAACACCGTCATGCTAGCACACAATTTCAGACAGATTTTGCAGCAATGCTCTGGTGTACTGGCGCATGCCCTGGCAAAACCGGCGAGGAAGGCATACAGATCTTTCTCAGACTCGCCCTCTTGCTCGATCTTCTCTGACCTCGCTACACACATTGTGTCAATGATGAAAGATCTCGATTCTACAGATGTCAACGACGTGTCCTGGAGTCATGGGTGTGTCCAATACAATCGGGAAGGCCTGTTTTAGCACCACTCACACGCATGCAGCAACTCCAAGTGCTATGTGCACAGATATTTGCGAGAAGCGTTGGGCTAACCACTACGAGCCATTTGCGAGGGAGCTCGTCCCTTGATTGCATCGGAAATATCAAAGTCCCGCTGTTGCGTGTAACAAGAGTGTTTGAGCCAGCCACACAAATCAAAACAGCTTGCACATCCCGACATTTGGACGAACGCAACCCGCAAGCCTGAAACACAGTGTGTTAACACAAGTGCATCCCGAAATGTCATTCTAGAGCAGAGCTTCTCGGACTTCATAACGGGACAACACCGCAAACAAGAATCGTGGGCAGGGATATTGCGACGCATGGTTCTACCGAGCAGGGAGGATTCTGTTGCAACATGGTACACACGAATGCACCGCTCACCAATTGCGTGGGAATCTTCACAATTGTGACATTAGGATCATCGGTATAGTGAATATGCCTGAAGCCGAACAGCGCTCCAAAGAAAGAGGAAGCCGACGAAGCTGCGCTCAAGGTAGCTCTGCCAAGAATTTCCGGCATTCGCACAGGAACGTGCAGTCAAATTTCCTCATTTCAATCGAGTACTCATGTCTCATATGCGTGCCGTGGACGACATTTTGCAAACAAAGCATTCACAGGCAAAACAACAACAAACACCCCGTCGCAAGCAGCTGCAGGTTCGCCTCGCTGCGCAAATTCAAATCGCCAGAAACCAAACCCACGGCACTTCAGCCGGCATGCTTTCATGCAACAACTCCACACACAGGATATCACGAATGTACACAAACTATCTAATTTTTGCCGCTCTTGCTTCTTCCGCTGGGCTTTGGTCCGGAGTTTTTATGTCCCAATGGCTACAAGGCAAGGAGGAAGCGCGCATGGCTATCCCAAGCCAAACGGTGCAAGTACCAAGCGCTGCTTTGCTCCGAAATGTTTGGCCTCGGCTGACGTTCTTTGAGGGAGTCATGATTTAAACTAAAGGCTGCTGATATTCGCGATCATAACTCCGCATAATGCCCGTTAAATTACGTCAGTTATGCCCCTGCCCACGCCATGCCTCCCTTGTTTTATGCCAGAAAACTACCAGCACTACCATGACAGCAACTACTCAGCAAAGGAGCTTGAATCGCACATGTGAGTTGAAGTTGTCTGTGTCTCATGATTCGGGCAGTATTGCTTTGCGTCCTCATTTTCTGACTTTGGGTTGACTATTGCCAGCTCAGATTGGACATGCAAAATGCAACTGCATGAGGCGCAACCACCGTCACGTCCTTTACCGACAACTACGTCCAGCGCCGCCCGCAGCTGTGCATTGACGAATTTGTCTTTGCTTGTTTGTACGTCTGGACTGCGAATCTCAGGATTGGTCTGCCGACTTGTGGAAATGATGCTTAAGTCTTCCAGAACTGCTGAATTTTGGTCAATCCAGTTTGTCCGTTGAGTTTGATGATGGTTGACGCACTCCGTTTGCTAGCATAGTCTTCGTCCTTCCATGAAAACTCGATGTTTTTGCGGAACGCAACTTCAAGCTTTAGTCACAGACCCCCATAGTTCGTCCATTCGTCAGTCAATGTTCGCCACTTGCTGACAAACTCCCTTTGCTCCCCAGGCTTATTTCGTCAACCCGTGACAACTGCAGGATTTGACGACTTGTTGAAACTTGGAGAACGATTTGGCATTGCAATTTTTCAAGTCTAAAAAAATTGCGAAATCTACACCTGTTACAAACATTGCCCGAATCCATAGAGAAATCTCCACAGGCATGATACATGTTACAGATGCCTCCCACTGCGACACCCCAACAACCTACGTGGTTTTGCATCCCGGGCTGCAAACAGGGAGGTTGCAGTGAGGACGACGTGGGTGTCCAATACTCCACGGACGTGCGGCCACCAAACCCAAGTTTCGATGCTGCTGACAGAATATGTTTGCAGTATATTTCCCAAAAAAATGTACCCAAACCTTCCTAATGTTGCCAACGGCCGATTTTGTCGTTCTAGTTTGCCATAACTGTACCTCCGTCGGACCCGAAAACATGAGCTTCAAACCTGCTAAAAACGCATGTTTGGGATGCCTTCGTACCTCCATTCTACAAAGTATCCCGTCTGATTCGACAAACCAAAGCCAAAAATTAACAGCTAGCTTAAAGCCACAACAGGTACTGCGTAGATCATAGCAGGACGGACAAGCCAAAATCTTGATTCCCTGCCCTTACGTACCTGCCAACTTTATACCCAAGCAATCAAACCCTAGCCCGAAACCTAAAGACTGTGGGCGAACTCCAGAGAAGCCGACCAATGTTTTAGTGCTTCTTCCCGAAATTACCTCCACCTTCTGAGCTACTTCATAGCAGACACGGACGGCGCCATGAATTTCTTGGTGTCTTTCCGCGCGCACCACAAAGACTTTGATACAGCGTACTTTACAGTTGATTCTGCCATAGTGCGAACCAAACCGCGCGATCGAGGTGTGTTGCATCATAGTTCGCATCGCGGAAAAAAGCTCGTATCGCATGGTACGAACTAGACGACCTGTATATTACGAACATGATACGAACCAACTTTCATGATACGAACCATGATACGAGCTATGTATGATACGAACTAGCACTTTTGGAACTTTGCGGGTCCTGCGGGAAGTCGTATCACAGTTCTTATCACAGACCGTATCATGGTTCGCATCATGAAGTTTTGTTTGTATCATGTTCGTACTGTACAGGTCGTCTAGTTCGTATCATATGATACGAACTTTTCTGCGATGCGACCTATGATACAAACTAGCGCGTGCGGCCTTTTGCGAGTTGGTTTCGAAAGCAATGCCAGGACATAGGAGTGTTGACGCAACTTGGCTTATGGGGCAGGGTAAGAAGGAATCCATGAGCATACATATACACAGATGCTACCGCACATTTCCAAGAGAAGTCATGACCTATGCAGTGAGATTCGACTTTGAAGGGTAGCTTTGGACAGAATTCTGAAGTTTACGGCTTTGGGACTCCAAGCCTCAAGGGTCTTATCTTGCAATATTTTGCTGCTCTTGTCATTGAAGGTTCCACGGTTTCAGAAATTGTTCCAAGAGTTGGTTGCCTCCCGCCCGGCCATTCAAGACTACCGTAGAAGTTACGGTCAGGGGAGACGCTATGCTTGTTTCTACAAGGCCACATAGCATTGACTAAGGGCACAGTTTGACAAAAACATTTTGAGAGGCTGGGGGCGACATATTGGCAAACGCAGGAAGGGTGGCAATGAAGGTGTTCTATGGGGCCTAAGGTCATACAAAAGACTGTATGCGAACAATTCTGGAGCTGAAGAAAGAGTCAACTTCTGGCATTTAGGCAAACTGACATGGACGACCGTATCTTGAAGGACCAAGTTAGTAAGAGGAAGGCTGAACACATTCGATGTGTTATTCCGTGACGAGAACCTGAGTATAACACCCTGAACATACATCTAAAAGTTGCTGTTCTGGCTGGGCTAAGACTTATAATCTCTGTGGTTGCTTGAGAGCAGGCATCAATGTCGATTAACGCAAGGTTGCAATGTGGGTACTGCAATCTGGGCAGCGCGCAAACTTTTTCATAGATGTTCGTACCGAACCATATGCCTCAACGTGCCCCTGCTACAATCCTTAGCGCAGCGACTCCTTGCATACCAGCTCCACCGCGATGCCGGATACTGGAAGCATGCCTTTATAAGTCACCAAGAGCAAGAAACGAAAGTTCCGAGCGGGAAAGTACAATGCACGATCTTACACTTGACGGAAATCGTTTTGGCGATATGGTGTCGCCATATAACCATTCGTGGTATCGTTCCCAGAACCAACAATGCCAGAGCAGCATGGCCAGAGGCAAGCCGAGGGTTTTCTGGCCCACAGTACCCACTGCATGAAGCCTGTATCTCTTTTGGGCGATACTGTATTTTTGAAACTTTGCCATCCCTAAAGCACCTCCTGATCGCAAAATATGTTTCTGATGTTATTTGCCCTGGTGCGCTGCTTAAGCACAGAAGACAAAAACGCCCAACTCAACAACGTTAGTTTTGCGCAAATGAAAAGATCGCGTTCTTGCTTGCTGAGTTCTTTTTTGCGTCAATGCAGTTATTGAAAGGTCATCGTGGCTCCAAAGCATCATCCGCTGCAGCGTGCGCGGAGGCTCTCCTTGAAATGAGCAATGCACGGCTTATGTCAACGAATGCGCGGAAACCCCATTGCATGATCATGAGGCCAGGGACGATGTTTTCGCGTTCCGATATGTTGCGAACAGGGGGTGCCTAAAAGATTGGCAGAGATTTCCTTTTGAAAACGCATGTTCCATTGCGAAGGTGGGAAGACTCATATGTGTTCTACCTTGCGCCGTGTATGACTTCCGCCAGACAAACCTCCCACGTACATGATTGATGCTTCACTGGGTGGCGTTGCTAAAGAAAAGCCGGCATGTGCACCAGCAGCTTTAGCGAGGAACACCTAGAGTAGGGACTAGCAGCAAGTGAATCTACTACACTCGCACGTAGCATCACAGTGAGCACTCACCCAGGTGGTGCATCGTGCCAGTTTACATCCTCTTTGTGCCTAAGTCGGGTTTCTCCACGTAACATCTGCTTTTGACCAAGCTTTGTTTATACCTCTTGCGCGGACACGCTTAACGCCAAATGACAACGTGAAAGCGCGCATCCTATGCTCGCAACTACACAGGCAAGAACCCTTGCCCCAGGACACGTGGCTGACGTTAGTCTACAAAGCTCCTCTGAGCCACAGGCATCTTCTGCATCATGGTCACGACCTTCCTAACGATGCACCGGTGCTCATGCAGGACCGAACGTGTGAGTAAAGCATGTGTCGAACATCTTGCGAACCTCAAAACTATGATAGCTCTTGACAAGACTGAAACAACCAGAAAAAACCTGAAGCCCCCTTCACCATCCAACGGCGATGCCTGATAGGATTTGCTGCCACTGCGGTGCTCGTCTTCGTGGCATATCCCGTTCCGAACAGCAGCGCAACCTGAGCACGTCATCACACCAAAGACATGTAAAGGCCCAGCACGGCGGCGGAAATGTCATGCTGTCACTATCTAACGCAATAAGCTGCAGACGCACACCACGAAGATGCGCATGTTTGCAGCTGCCATTGGCCTCAGCAAAGGAAGAAACTCCAATTGCATGGATGCCGGGTTGCAAAAACTGTGCTACATCAGTCTTGCGCACCACAACAAGAGTCAACCTGTCCCAAGATGCTGACTTCGTTGGGGGTTGGTAAAGGACTGGCTTCCCACCGCTCTTGATGGAAAAGCTGCCAATCCGAAGACGCTGAAATGACGAACATTCGATATAACAAGAAGCCGCTCTGGCGAATTCCTTGTGCAAATGTGCTTACACCTCTCTGGTTCTGTTGTTCCAAGCTGAAAACGGGTGTTTTCAAAAAATTTAACAAACCTAATTTCTTTTTGTGCTGGAGACGGCCTCTGGACTGCCGTCCTTGCTGCTGGAAGTGTGCAAAAGTTATCAAAAGCACAAAGTTCCAATGAAGCAGCAGACACAAAAGCAAGTCTGCCAAATTGTCGTGCTTCTCAGCGAACACACAACAAGCTTTCATCGAAATCCAGAAACATCCTAAATCTCGAACCCACAATGCTGTCGATGTTTGTGTACTGTCCTTTCAGTCTATTTTATCCTCGTTCGCCATGCGGTTTTTCCTTTCCGCTTGTCTTTGAACTGCTTCTTACCTCTGAAAAAGCGTCTCCGCCACAGCGGCTGCCATCTGTGAGACAGATAAAGTCTAGAGTCTAAAGAAAGGTCGAAGAATCAAGGTCCAGAATTGAACTTCTAAATCTGGAAAACCGGAAATTAAGACAAGAGCTTCTTGTATTTTGCTTTTGCCGCTGTCTTTACAACTTCGGAAACGTCCACCACCACATGCTGATGGAAGTCGGAGCTTTTGATGAATGCAGTTTCGACATAAGTAAAATTCTTTCACTCATCTGTCCCATTGGTCCGCGTGATGTAATTTCATGTTTTTTTTGGCGTGGTAAGGCTCGACGGCAGCTGCCGCATTCGGTCCCATCAAAAAACCAAGCTAAGCAAGAAGACGAAACACTATACTTTACAAGTACGCGTGAAACGGTGGCTGCGACGTCAGTCTTTGCCGGTATAAGTCGTTCACAGAGTCCGGGCTCCGGCTCCGCAAAAGCGTAATGGCCTCCAAAAGATGTTGCGCTCAGAGGCTCTGCTTTCCGTAAGAACGGAAAGCGCAATGGCCGCATCATAGTCCCGCTGGAAAACACCATGGCTGCATGGCGAAAGAGCACATCTCCTTTGGCCCCACACCTTGTTTTCGTCATGTATCCACATGTTTGTCCAGCTTCTTGGTTGTCATTGTGCTTGTTTGCATTATTACTGAGACCGAGCGCAGCAGCCGCCGTCACCGAGACCCGCCATGCGAAAAAAAAAAAAAAACTTTTGATGTTCGGAGCTGAGGGCTCCATCCACTTGCACGTGTGGCCAATTTTCTTTGCAAAAGTAGCTTTGGACTCCACCTGTTCGATAAAATGCCCGCACTTACTGCAGTTGACACACAAGTTGTTTTGATTTTGGGCCCTGGTTTTTTCTTGCATTTTTGGTTCTCCTAGTCACTGGCACCAGGTTTTTCAGGAAAGACAACCTGGGGCCCTTCTCCAGTGCCATACTGGAACAGTTCTTGTACTCGGTTTGCCAGAAAACGTTGATGCGTCCTGCCACTTCGTCTTTAATTAGCACTTGTTGCTCCCATTTAAGGTCCCTGCGCTGGTTGGCAGCAGCCTGCACCTGCCTGTCTACCTCCTGGTTTGCTTCCCAGCGCCACCAGTTTTCTTTTCCAAATTTTTCTTGGAAATCTTCCTGGGAAAGGTGGGAGTTCACCCAGGTGAGGCACAGGCGGTCTTGGTGGTGGCGCAACTTCTGAAAAATGTCCTCAGATTTCCAGCCTGGCGCCTGGTTCAAGCACTTCGGCACCCCTTGGCAATCCAAGGTAACATCAACTAGGTTTGATGTCTTTTGTACTTTATAAAGGAGGGCTGCAGCTTCAGCCCTAAAGACCGTTTGCTGTCCCTCCACAGGCCCCGTCGCCTTCCCCATCACCTCAATCCGGCGCGCATGCTTTCTGAAAGCAATTGCCCCCCAGGTGTGCACTTGGAAACGTGCATCCTGGGATGCACCAGGTGAGCCGTCGGTGGCATAAAAGATCCCTGGATCCTCCTGTTGGAAAACGCCTTCTTCCTGAAGCGTTTGCTTGTAGGTGTCCGGTCTGTGCGGTGGAGGCCCAAGTCCTCTGAGCCAGAGGCTGGGGTCAGGGTACTGTTCCCTGAGTCTAGGGAAATCATCTGGTTCCGGGGCCTGGTTTTCCCACCAGTTGCATTCCCACAAGACGTGGCTCAGTGTGGCTTCTTTGTTGCACCGGGCGCACACCGCACCCTTGCCATGCCGAATGGCACCTTGCCACACCGCTACCAAAGCGTTTCGATGCAGCTTGCTGGGACTTTTCTTAAGCACCTTGCGTGGCGCCTGCCAATCAATGCCTTCTTTGAGGGTTTCCACTTTTTCGCACTGGGCCAAGGCTTGCCAGCGCCACCTGTCACAGGCTTGCTTGAGCTTACTGCTCATGTGGTGCATGCTGGCCTTATCAAGGATATGGAATGTTTCCTGGTCCGCCTTCCATTCAGTAAGGGACCTGGCCTCCCAACCTAAAGCCTTTAAGTAGCACGCCGCCGCCCCAAAAGGGCCTACCACAACCCTCCAAGGCTCCTTGTGGTGCTGGATTTTTCGAACCCAGAACTGGAAGGCATGCTCCAGTTCCTGCATCGGCGTTTGGCTCCACTCAACCAACAATTTGTGAAGGAACCTGAAATGTTGGTTGATAATGGTAAACGTGGGGTCGTCATGCTTGTTTGTGGCCTGCTCGATCACAGCTTCGGTTGAACCCAAGCTCATCCGGAGGATAACTGTTTTCTCTCGTCTTTGGCGAAGCGAGTCGCTGCCTAGCCTTTGGCCGGCAAGGTTTTGGGTGAAACGTGACTGTTCTTACACCAGTGCTGTGGCCGTTTCAGCACTTGGTTTGCCCTACAGCTTGGGCTCTTTGGCCCAGGACACCAGCTGTGCTGGTTGCTACTTGCACCAGTCTTCTGGGTTTTCACCAGCCAGGCTGGTACTGGTAGCACCAGTTTTGGTGATCCTGGTTTGCCCTACAGTTGGGCTCTTTGGCCCAGAACACCAGCTGTGCTGGTTGCTACTTGGCACCAGTCGTCTGGTTTTTTCACCAGCTGACTGGTACTGGTAGCACCAGTTCTGGTAGTCCTGGTTTTCCCTTTTTGGGGCTTTCTAGCTGGAAAGGACCCCAGCTCTGAGCCAGAAGTCTCAGAATTGTAGTCTGGTCTGTTTGGGGTCCTCACTGTGGGGCCTGGTTCGACCAGCTTTGGGCTTAGGCTTGGCTTTTGGTCCTTTCCCCAGGCTAGTGTCCGTGCGGGCCTGGAAATTCTTCCCTAGAGGGCCTTTTAGTTCATGGAGGGTGGAACCTGTCGTGGGGGCCTGTGTTTGCTGTTGCAGCGGTGGCTGGCTTTGGGCTCTTGTTGGGACACCCTTACTTAGCTTTGGGTACGACACCAACACTGGCCTTTTGGTTAGAGGAAACACCAGCACCAGCACCACCACCATGATTTGCACCATCAGCATCACCATCAGAAGGCTCGGCCTTCCTCTGTGCACCCCTGACGGTCTTTTTGCTGTCTTTGTCAGCAGGCAGTTTGTCTGGGGGGACGGCTTTTGAAGCCGTCTGAAAGAAACCAGACTTGCTCGGGGCATATCTCTGGATGCATTGCAGGATTTCAGGATCCTTGCCAGTGTACACCTGCCTGCATTGTTTCCCCAGGCTTGGGTATAACTCTTGCCTCCCAATCCACTGCCTAATGCCACATTTGCAGCAGACCCACATTCGGCCAGCATTGACCATTTTATGCGATGGGTGCTCCCCCATGTTCGGAGCTGAGGGCTCCATCCACTTGCACGTGTGGCCAATTTTCTTTGCAAAAGTAGCTTTGGACTCCACCTGTTCGATAAAATGCCCGCACTTACTGCAGTTGACACACAAGTTGTCTCTGCTTCGGTGGCCTTCTCGCCACTCATGTCCCAGGTCCGGCATTTGACCAACAAGGAGTGCCTCTAACTGTTGCCTTTTGTTTGGGCCTTCACCAGGGCTAGGGTTGACTGGTTTGTCACCAGTTTGCCTTTTTCTCCCTTTGGTTTGCAGACTGGTTTTGATTTTGGGCCCTGGTTTTTTCTTGCATTTTTGGTTCTCCTGGTCACTGGCACCAGGTTTTTCAGGAAAGACAACCTGGGGCCCTTCTCCAGTGCCATACTGGAACAGTTCTTGTACTCGGTTTGCCAGAAAAACGTTGATGCGTCCTACCACTTCGTCTTTAATTAGCACTTGTTGCTCCCATTTAAGGTCCCTGCGCTGGTTGGCAGCAGCCTGCACCAGCCTGTCTACCTCCTGGTTTGCTTCCCAGCGCCACCAGTTTTCTTTTCCAAATTTTTCTTGGAAATCTTCCTGGGAAAGGTGGGAGTTCACCCAGGTGAGGCACAGGCGGTCTTGGTGGTGGCGCAACTTCTGAAAAATGTCCTCAGATTTCCAGCCTGGCGCCCGGTTCAAGCACTTCGGCACCCCTTGGCAATCCAAGGTAACATCAACTAGGTTTGATGTCTCTTGTGCAATATAAAGGAGGGCTGCAGCTTCAGCCCTAAAGACCGTTTGCTGTCCCTCCACAGGCCCCGTCGCCTTCCCTATTACCTCAATCCGGTGCGCATGCTTTCTGAAAGCAATTGCCCCCCAGGTGTGCACTTGGAAACGTGCATCCTGGGATGCACCAGGTGAGCCGTCGGTGGCATAAAAGATCCCTGGATCCTCCACCAGGACCTGTTGGAAAACGCCTTCTTCCTGAAGCGTTTGCTTGTAGGTGTCCGGTCTGTGCGGTGGAGGCCCAAGTCCTCTGAGCCAGAGGCTGGGGTCAGGGTACTGTTCCCTGAGTCTAGGGAAATCATCTGGTTCCGGGGCCTGGTTTTCCCACCAGTTGCATTCCCACAAGACGTGGCTCAGTGTGGCTTC